TCATCTCTCTACCTTACGCTCACCAGCAGCAAGGCGTAGCAGAAAGGATGAACAGAACTCTCCTGAACACCATGCGCAAACTGTTGCGAGGCATGTGACTGCCCAACCACCAGTGGCCCGAAGCAATGGACCACGCTGTGATGCTGCACAACTTGCTCTCGTCATCATCGCTCCCGAACAACGCATCACCGCATCTGTTGTGGACAGGAAAACAAGGCAGCACAAAAATGTTAAGAGTTTTCGGCTGCATGGTACAGTACCGACCCCCATCTGCACGAGCCGGCCGATTTTCCCAGCGCGCACAGTGGGGACTACACCTGGGCATCGAAAGAAATTACAACGCGTGGAAAATTTTCGACGTTCACTCCAAGGAAACAGTAGCAGCACGAGATGTTATTTTCTACGAACGACTCACCCTTCCGCCGTACCTTGCCAACCTGGAAGAAGATCGGGAACCCACAGGTGGCTTCCGTGGTGACCGAGCCTTCGCCTCGGCAGCAGACGAAGCTGACTGGGACGAGTAGAACGTGGATGCAGCCTCGGAGGAAGCCGGACCTCTCCCTTACTGCTCCGTCGACGTCCCAATGGATGGCGGAAACCCTCGCGAAAGCGCCAACGCCAAAGTATTCTACCACTTCGCCGACAACGGTTACGTTACACCTGCAGAAGTCAACACCAACGAATCAGTTTCAAGTCAATCCATCAAGGTTTGCTAGGCCTTTCATGCTTTGTCGTGAAAGATAAGCCTGAAATTTGAGCAGAATTGCCTGCGTTTGGGTTCTGATGCAAAACACAAACCAAACATTAGAATTAAGCTCTGAAAATCATAGGGGAGTCTTATCACAATAATTTTATATCCCCCTATCAGCTTCAAGTCAATCCATTAAGGTTTGCTAGGCCTTTCATGCTTGTCGTGAAAGATAAGCCTGAAATTTGTGCAAAATTGCCTGCGTTTGGGTTGTGATGCAAAACACAAACCAAACATTGGAAATAAGCTCTGAGACTCATAGGGGAGTCTTACCACACCAATTCTAGATCCCCCTATCATTTTCAAGTCAATCCATCAAGGTTTGCTAGGCCTTTCATGCTTTGTCGTGAAAGATAAGCCTGAAATTTGTGCAGAATTGCCTACGTTTGGGTTCTGATGCAAAACACAAACCAAACATTAGTTTTAAGCTCTGAAAATCATAGGAGAGTCTTATCACACAAATTATAGATCCCCCTATCATTTTCAAGTCAATCCATCAAGATTTGATAGGCCTTTCATGCTTTGTTCTGCAAGATAAGCCTGAAATTTTTGCAGAATTGCATGCAAGTGAATTCTGTTGTAAATCACCAGCCAATAATTGGAATTAGTGCGTGACACTCAGTGGGGAGCCTCATCACAGTAATTATAGATCCCCCTATCATTTTCATGTCAAAAAGAAATTGTTGATATTTTTGCTGCATTTATAAATTTCTATAGTATGACACTATCCAATCTCGTCGATGTCGTTAAAAAGTGAAGGGCATTGTGCTTGTACAGTGTGATGACAAGAGGAGGGTTCACATTCGTGCAACATTTCTCTATGTGGACAATTGATGGGCGCTACGCAGTTTGGGTGTTTTGTTCATGCAAACTCTCTTTATATTACACATTTATAACACAATAGTTCACACTACACTTCACTCTTATCGCGTCTAGGCGCAACCTAGAGGACTAGCACGAAATGTAGAGTTAATATAGGGCAGACTCACCATCTGGCAGTGTTTATCGGCTCAGAGACCTACTCTGACACACTTCATGTCCGATTCTATCTGGCATGCAAGTTTCGAAAGGCTCGCAGATATCTGGGGATCCCATTTGCCACATTTATTTTTACGGGCAGCCCTTACAAAACGTCTGGTGGTGATCTCCTTACGCATATGAGGGTGTGAGGTGCAGAGGTCAGCAACAACATTCGCTGCGTAGATAAGGGCTTCGGTGTGACGGCGCCACGTGTCTGTTCTTGGCAGAACATCTGTCAGAATATTATGTTTCTCTAGTCTGCAGCGGGGTACTCTATAGTGAGTACAACCCTTTTAGGGTTTGCTATATGTATCCCAGTGTTTGCTAGTGAACCTCCTTTCTTCTTCATTCCTCATTTCTTCACATGCTATCAGAGCATCTACGCTCCTGGCCTGTGGGCCCACCTAACTGCTTCCGCCGCTACTCTGTGCTCTGCACGCCCCGTGGCGTGCCCCTCGCGCGACCCTTAGTGGCCCCGTCGCCACCCTTCGCGGCCTCGTCGCCGCCCTTCACGGCCCCTCGCGGCCCCTTCGCGGCCCCGTTGCCGCCCCTTTCAGGCCCCTCGCGGCCCCTTCGCGGCCCGTCGCCGCCCTTCCAGGCCCCTCGCGGCCCCTTCGCGGCCCCGTCGCCGCCCCTATCGGCCCCGTCGCCACCGCCAGCGGCCCCGTCGCCGACCCTAGCGGCCCCGTCGCCGCCTCTATCGGCCCCGTCGCCGACCCTAGCGGCCCCTCGCCGCCCCTATCGGCCCCCTCAGGTCGCCTCGACAGGCGACGGGAGGGGCGACCTGGGGGAGGGGGGTGAGCGCCGCCCCTTCTGCCGCCTATTTTGGCGCCCTGGGAGGCCGCGCGTCGCCCCCCCCCCCCCCCCCCCCTACCCTCCCTACCCGCCGTCCCGCCCTGCCCTGTGTTAGGGTGTGGGGGTGGCGAGTAGGGGGTGGCGGGTGTGTGGTCTCCCCTGCTCCTCCTCCTCCTCTGTCTCCCACTGCTACAGCTGCCGCTGAGGGGGGTGGGTGTGTGGGAGTCGACGGAGTGGTGCTAGGGGGTGGGGTGTGAGTGAAACTAGGGGTGCAGTAGGGGGTGTGTGAAATGGGGGTGGGATAGTTTGGGGAGGTTGAAGGGGGTGGCCGCCGTGAAGCCCGCAGCTCCAGTCGCCCGTGAGACCGTTGCGCCAGTCGCCCATGAGCCCGTTGCGCCAGTCGCCCGTGAGCCCGTTGCTCCAGTCGCCCGTGAGTCCGTTGCTCCTGCCGCTCAGAGTTAGCCGCGGAGCTAGTTACTCCAGTAGCCCGTGTGCTACTTGCTCTAGTTGCCAGTGTGCCAGTTGCTCCAGTTGCCCGTGTGCCAGTTGCTCCAGTTGCGCCGTGTGCCAGCAGCTTCAGCTGCCGCCCACCACCTCCTCTCCTCTCATAGTCCCTCCTCCACACTTGCCCTCTGCGATAGCCTCTAGCTTTGCTTACATTTGTGAACTTTAAACTGTTGCTTCTTGTACTTGTGCTCAGCCGTGTGGTGACATTGTGATCCACCCTGAGCTTGTTCTGCTTTGCTTGTTGTGCTGATTACACCCCACTTTGACTATGGGGGTGTGTCAGAATATTATGTTTCTCTAGTCTGCAGTGGGGTACTCTATAGTGAGTACAACCCTTTTAGGGTTTGCTATATGTATCCCAATGTTTGCTAGTGAACCTCCTCTCTTCTTCATTCCTTATTTCTTCACAACATCTGCGACACCAGAGGCACGTGATTCGCGGTCGCAGATGTGGAGCAGATTCCCCCCAACTTCCGAACACCAACCTACACGGGAGACATCATGTTGTCGTTTAGATACAGAGGTTGTTATCCAAATCGGATTTTTTAGCTAAGGGTTCATCCGCCCAAAACAACTAAGCGAGACAGTAAATGCTGCACACCACGACGTCTCATATGACGGCCACTAAAAGATTCGCTAACCTAGAGGTTCCATCCGCGCAGGTGAACGCGACCCAGTCGTTGTTGCACCACGAGCTTCAACTCAGCTCGAAATCCTACGATTCAATCCATTTTAGCTGCAGCGTCCATCGACCAACCTGATTCTCCCAGTTTTTGTATCCAATCTTGCTTCCTACGCCCAGAATGCAGAGATCTCCTGAGAGGTCTTCTACTAGCTTCACCAGGTAGTTCCCGGTGCTTCAGCAACCTTAGGCGGAGGCCGCTTCAAGAGTTTAGATAGCGACTTATTAACTCCAAGCCTGCGACTGCTAACTGAGTAGAGGAACTGGGTCGCGCAAGCCATGGCCGACACACCTCTGCTTAGGGGTTGCGGCTTAAAGGTTAATATTACCAATGAAGACTACGACACTTTAAGCGGTTCGCAGAAAGAATGGTCAGAGGACCTTCTTAACTTCGCTATCTTGTAAGTGTCACAATAGATTTATATCTATTTAGTATAATCTGCCTGTAGTGTAGCTGCTGTGTAATTCCCTTGTATGGTGGTGCACCTCTTTCACCTTTGTTAGGTTGCTATATGTACTCGTGTGCTATAGTGAACCTCCAACCATTCTTCAATTCTCCTTGGCACAAACTACTCGACACCCGCTTGGCCTAGGCTACTAAGCCTAGGCCCTTAGTAAACCCCGGTTCCTAGACTAAGTTCGTTTCGTAACATGGTATAGAGCTAGGTCGTTCCCGACCTATTTTTGAAGGGCCCACCGTTAACCTTCACAATGGCGCGTCCCGTTAAGCAGCAAATTGCGGCCCCGTTCGTCCTTTCCCGTCGCTCGCCCGTAGCAAAATTCGTCACGGTAGGCATGACGGACGCTACGGTCGCGGCGGGAGTGACGGCGATCGTCGACCCACTGTTTCGCGCCGTCGTTCTCGCCCCCGTCGACCCCGCGCACTACCCGCCACTGCAGCCCGCCACCCGCGCGATTTCTGCTGCTGCAGCCCGTCGCCCGTCCCGTCGCGCTGCCGCCCGTCACCAGATCCGTGCCGCCCGTCGCAAGATTCACGCCACCCATCCGCACACCGTCGCGCGTCTCCCTGCTTCCCGTCGCCCTAGCCGCTCCTTATCCCGCCGTTGCCCTGCCCGTCGCATTACCCCCGCCCCCTGCCCATCACCACCCCCCGTCGTCATTGTTCGCGTGTGCAGCGGTGGTCGCTGTGGGGGGATTGAGGGAAGAAAGGCAGGGAGTGACGGCCGAACGCGGTGGGCGAGAGGGAACCAGCGGAAAGGCATGGCGGGACCGCCAGCAGCTACAACGCTAGTAACGACCGCCAGCAAAGACCCCGCCAGCCGAGTCACCACCAGCAGCGCCACCGCCAGCAGAGACCCCGTTGTCAGCGCCAGCACTAGGCACCAGCACCAGCGCCAGCCGCCACCACCAGGCACCAGCACCAGCGCCAGCCGCCAGCACCAGGCACCAGCACCAGCGCCAGCCGCCAGCACCAGGCACCAGCACCAGCACCAGCCGCCAGCACCAGGCACCAGCACCAGCGCTAGCCGCCAGCACCAGGAACCAGCACCAGCGCCAGCTGCCAGCACCAGGAACCAGCACCAGCGCCAGCCGCCAGCACCAGGAACCAGCACCAGCGCCACCGCCAGCAGAGACTCCGCCGTCAGCGCCAGCACCAGGCACCAGCACCAGCACCAGCACCAGCGCCAGCCGCCAGCACCAGGCACCAGCGCCAGCCGCCAGCACCAGGCACCAGCACTAGCGCCAGCCGCCAGCACCAGGCATCAGCACCAGCGCCAGCTGCCAACACCAGGCACCAGCACAAGCGCCAGCTGCCAGCACCAGGCACCAGCACCAGCGCCAGCCGCCAGCACCAGGCACCAGCACCAGCGCCAGCCGCCAGCACCAGGAACCAGCACCAGCGCCAGCTGCCAGCACCAGGAACCAGCACCAGCGCCAGCCGCCAGCACCAGGAACCAGCACCAGCGCCACCGCCAGCAGAGACTCCGCCGTCAGCGCCAGCACCAGGCACCAGCACCAGCGCCAGCCGCCAGCACCAGGCACCAGCGCCAGCCGCCAGCACCAGGCACCAGCGCCAGCCGCCAGCACCAGGCACCAGCACTAGCGCCAGCCGCCAGCACCAGGCATCAGCACCAGCGCCAGCTGCCAACACCAGGCACCAGCACAAGCGCCAGCTGCCAGCACCAGGCACCAGCACCAGCGCCAGCCGCCAGCACCAGGCACCAGCACCAGCGCCAGCCGCCAGCACCAGGAACCAGCACCAGCGCCAGCTGCCAGCACCAGGAACCAGCACCAGCGCCAGCCGCCAGCACCAGGAACCAGCACCAGCGCCACCGCCAGCAGAGACCCCACCGTCAGCGCCACCACCAGGCACCAGCACCAGCCGCCAGCACCAGGCACCAGCGCCAGCCGCCACGCACCAGACACCAGCACCAGCGCCAGCCGCTAGCAACAGGCACCAGCACCAGCGCCAACCGCTAGCACCAGGAACCAGCACCAGCGCCAGCTGCCAGCACCAGGAACCAGCACCAGCGCCAGCCGCCAGCACCAGACACTAGCACCAGCGCCAGCCGCCAGCACCAGCGGGGTTGAGTGGGCGGGTAAGGGGGTGGAAGAAGTAAGTCGGGCGTTTGCAGCAGTTGCCTGTAGCAGGCACGCCCCTGGAGGTGCTGAGTAGTGCTGTCTAGCTGCTCGTTGCAGCCACAGCACCTGCTCTCACGCCCACCTGCCGGGTCCTGCACCTGTCGCTGCTGCATCTGCCGTGGCTGAGGTCACTGTGGCCCTATCTGCCATCACTGCACCTGCTGCCTGTAGCAGGCACGCCCCCGGAGGTGCTGAGCCGCGCTAACCAGCTGCTCGTTGCAGCCACAGCGCTTGCTCTCACGCCCACCTCTCGGGTCCTGCACCTGCCGTTGTTGCATTTATCATGGCTGATCTGTGTTGCCGTTTCCTCTGCTTCTCCTACCTCTTGCCTAGGTTCCGGGGGTGTGACTTGCTCTAGTTATGTGTTGCAGGCAGTTAAGGGGGTGTGCCGCAATATATATTTATATATGTTTATAACTGCCTGTAACTTTAGCTTTAGTGTAGTTATACTTCCTTGCTATTGGGTGGTGCACCTCTTGTTTGTGTTTCTCGACTATATCTTGTATGCTTTGCTTTTAGTGAAGCTAACTTGTTTGGTCAACTCTCTCGATCCTCCCTTGGCCTTGACCTCGACACTTGCTAGGCCTAGGCTTAGTAGCCTAGGCCGTCCTTAAATCCAGTTACCAGTTAAGATCGCATCGTAACACTCGGGGCTCCACAAATACCCCCGCATAGTTTGTGGCACCGCCCACAAGCGAAGGGCCACAAGGCCAGCTCACATGCAGACGTATATATGCAACAACATCAGTACAGTGATCTCTACCTAGCACAACAAGCATGCAGATATATATATATATATATATAGATCACACTAGAAGCAAAGTCTACAGCAAGTGAGGAAAAGTACGCATAAGGCCTAACAAAGTGCAGAAACGCTGATGATCACCAGACGGAAGTGCCTTGGTGAATATATCAGCAGTCTTGGCCCGAGTGGCCACGTGAGCAAGACGAAGCTGACGACGCTGCTGCAACTCTCGAGCCAGGAAGTAACGCAGAGCGATGTGCTTCGTTCTGTGCTCCAGTCTATGCTCCGGACACAAGGCAATGGTGGCCTTGTTGTCGACGTACAGCACTGGAGGAGAACGAGGCCGCTCTCCCAGGTCGGTCAGCAGGTAGGTAAGCCAGCGTAACTCCTATGTAGCCATGGCTGTGGCGTGGATCTCAGCCTCACAACTGGAGCTGAGAACTGAAGACGAGCGTGTAAAACGCCAAGAACCTGAACCAAAGACAACGCTGAAGGTGTAACCCTGTGACGACCGCTGCATAGCATGGTCGTCAACGTCGCTCCGTCCTCCAAGCACGAGCCCCATGCCCGATGTACTACACAAGTAGCGTAGTACCCTCTTAGCAGCATCCATGTGCACCTTTTGGTGCCGACCAGGAGCCACGTAGTGAGCCAGAAGGCCAAGAGGGTACGCAAGGTCAGGGCAAGTGCAGGTCATCAGGTACATGAGGCAGCCCACTAGCTCTGGGTAAGGACCACTCGGCTCTACGGACTCGTCCGAAGGTGGAGCTGAAAGCGAGTGACCTGTCGCCAGAGGAGTGGCCTGTGCCGAGGACCAGGTGAAGTTGAAGCGCTGAAGGACCTGCTGCACCATGTGTGACTGAGTCAGTGTGATGGTGCGGCGTGCTCTGTCCTCGGTGATTTGCAAGCCAAGGTAGCTGTGTAGCTCACCTAGGTCTGTGCACGTGTGTCTCTTCTGCAGCTCCGACTTCACCAGGGCGAGAGCCTCAGTGTCAGCAGTGGCAAAGACCAAGTCGTCGACGTACACGAGGATGTAGAATGGTGGCAGCAAAGTGTCGGTGCGGAGAAACAGCGACGGGTCAGCAGTCGACGGAGCAAACCCAAGAGCCGCAAGTGTCGTCCTCAGTGTGTCGTGCCACTCACGCGGCGCCTGGCGGAGACCGTAGACTGGCCGCCGGAGGCTCCACTGGGTACCAGGAGGGAACGACCCAGTGAAGCCAGGAGGGCAGCGCAGCCAGATCTCCTCGTGCATGCTGTCCTGTAAGAAGGCTGTGCTGAAGTCAAGAGAGTGAAGCTCGTAGTCACAGAGAGCGGCAACGTGCAGCAGCACCCGAAGAGTGGTCATCTTCGGGGTGGGGGAGAAGGTCTGGAAGAAGTCGACTCCCTGTCGCTGACTGAAGCCTCGAGCAACGTAACGAGCCTTGAAGACAGGCGGAGAACCTTGCAGCTGCATCACCCTGAAAATCCACATCCCACTGACGATGTTCGCCCCAGGAGGGGGAACCTCGTCGACGTAGGTGCTTGTGGACTTCCAGGATGCCATCTCTGCGTCCATGGCTGTCTGCCACTGAGAGGAGTACTCACCCGCGATCGCCTCAGCGTAAGAGCACGGGGTCGGGATGTCTGGTGCATCCGAGTCTCCCTCATGGGCAAGCAGCATGGACACGAGATGAGGCGCAGCGGCTGCAAGACACTCAAGGTCCTCCTGCCTGTCCTCAAGGACGTCCGTGTTAAGAACACACTCACCCCCGACGTACGGAGGACAGACAGACTCAGACTCAACAACCAGACTAGCGGCGTAGTCTAGACAACAGGCAGCAGCAAAGCCAACAAGCTCAGCAACTAAGGCAGACGCAGCAGCAGACTCAAACGACGGGTCAGTGACAACTGTGGTGAGCAGACGCGTGACAGTAGGGTGAGCAGCACGGGTGCGGTCAGAGTGAGGCTCAGGAACGGTAGGCAGAGAAGTCGCAGGAGGGGACGGCAGGGGAACACGCTGCGGAGGAGAGGAAGGACGTTGGACTACGTGGTGGGTGCCGATGACAGCCGGCTGACGCGAACGAGGAACACGACGACCGGAACGACCAGAACGGACAGGCGAGACAGAACGCGACGCAGGCTCACGACGCTCAGTAAGACCCCCTGTCTGCTCAGTGTAAGGAGAAGGAGCAGGCAGCGGTGAGCCAGGCTGTAACAAAAGACCACTAGACGAAGGGGGACTAAGAACCTGATGAAGCACAGAGTCAGACGGTGGCTGAGACGACGGAGACGGTGGAGCAAAGAACAGGCGGGGCTATGCAGTGCCACCAGCACCAGCAGCTCCAGCACCCCCAGCAGCTCCAGCAGCTCCAGAACCCTCAGCACCAGCTCCTCCAAGACCAGCTCCACCAGCAGCAGCACCCCCAGAACCGGCACCTCCAGTCCCAGGGTCTCCAGTCTCAGTGTCTCCAGCAGCAGCACCCCCAGACCCAGGGTCTCCAGCAGTAGCACCCTCAAGCTCAGCACCTCTAGCCCCAGCAAATCCAGTACCTCCAGTACGAGCACCTCCAGGACCAGCACCACCCCCAGCTCCAGTAACGTCAGCAGAAGTACCTCCAGCGGCAGAGCCTCGAGCTCCAGAAGCACGACCCTGACGGCGACCGTACCACTCGTGCAGCTGCTGTGAGGTGAGAGGCACACGCAGACGAAGGCGACTTCTCCAAGGAGACCGCGCAACAGCAGACTCAGAACCCTCAGCGTCAGCACCCGCAGCAGCTCCAGAACCTCCAGCGCCAGCACCCGCAGCAGCTCCAGAACCTCCAGCGCCAGCACCCGCAGCAGCTCCAGAACCTCCAGCTCTAGCACCGCCAGCAGCTCCCGAACCTCCAGCTCCAGCACCCTCAGCAGCTCCAAAACCTCCAGTAGAAACAACTCCACTAGCACAGTCACCAGCTCCAGCGCCTCCCGCAGCAGAGCCCCTAGCTCCAGTAGCGCGACCCTGACGGCCAGCATACCACTCACGCAGCTGTTGTGGGGAGAGAGGGAGTTGACGACGAGAGCGCAGCGGCGAGGCACCAGCGGAGCGACTACGTAGACGGCCGCTCCAGGGAGACTGCTCACCAGACGCCTCAGAGCCTCCAGGTGCAGCATCCCCAGACTCAGTACTCTAGGCACAGCACCCGAAGACTCCTCACACCCAGGCTCAGCACCTCCAGTCTCCGCACCCCCAGGCTCCGCACCTCCAGGCTCCGCACCCCCAAGCTTCGCACCCCCAGGCTCAGCACCCACAAAAGCAGCACCCCGAGCAGGACCACCCTCAGCAGGAATTGAGTCACCAGTGACCTCAACTGGCGCAGTCAAGGGGGGAGGGTCTACCTGAGACACACCTGAAGGAGCAGGATCGGGAGCGGGGAGGGGGTCTACCTGGGGAGCACTTGGAGCGAGGAAGAGCGGCAGGGGGGGGGGAGAGGGGCAGTGCGGTAGGGGAAGAGACGGTAAAAAAAGGGAACCGACTCGTCGAACGTGACGTCCTGAGAGGGGAAGACACGGCGAGAGGTTGGGTGGTAAAACTGCCAACCAGGCGCGTCGAGGACAAAGCCAAGGAAGACACAGGGAACAGCGCGGGCGGAGAGCTTGTCCGCGGTGGTATCGCGGACAAAGGCACGAGCACCCCAGACCCGGAAACGCGACGCATCGCCAACCTTCCCCGTCCACAGCAGTGTGGGCGAGGTCTCCGGCAAGGAGACACGGGGCCAGAGGTTGAGCTGATGCGCGGCGTACCGGACCGCAAACGGCCACAGAAAATGGGGGGCAGCCGCATGGATCATGGAGGTACGAGCGACCTCCATGACTAAGCCAATGCGGCGCTCAGCAATCCTATTCTACTGCGGAGAGGCCGGAAGCGTGAACGTCTGGCGGATGCCGTGCTCCGCACAGAAGGCTACCAAGAGGTCTGAGGAGAACTCACCACCTCTGTTAGAGTGCAGACGCAGGACAGGAAAGTCCGACTGGAACCGCTCGCGGAGCTGGAGACGAACAGCGCGGATCCAGGGGATCAAAACATCAGGGACATCCCCCTTGCGCTGCAAGGGGAAGACCGTTGTGTAACGTGTGTAGTCGTCGACGACCAGCAGGAAGTACCGCTCGTGGCCCTGTCCACGGACGCGGGCTGGGCCCCACACGTCCAGGTGGAGAGTTTGCAGGGGAGCCTCTATGGGAGGGAACGAGGAGGAGTGAGGAGCGGCGCGCTGCCGCCCCTCGACACAGGGAAGACAGGGAGGAGCAGGCGAGGGTGGAAGGGGAGGGAGAACCCTGGGAAGACCAGAGACAAGGACACGGCGGTGCATGCTGCGAAGGCGCTGCACCGAGGGGTGACCAAGGCGGTGGTGC